CATTGTGATCTTTCACCGTTACTGTAGCCGCTGTGCTTATGAGATTCAGGTGCAGTACTGGAATAAGGCAGTCTGTCCGGGTGTTTCAACTCGGTTCCCAAGCAAGCTCCGGCGCCAAGATTTTGCCAAGATTTCAATGGATTCCTCGTTCAGGTGCACTCATACTTTTGCCTCGAAAATATGGTTTAACTCTTCAGGCTAGGAGGTTCTGACGCGCCCCTTGCTGCTTAAAAACTGAGAGATTCCGCTTTTACAGCAGTAGTTCAGTAAGTGCTTTTTGGGATGTCCGGGTGGGTGGATGGGAAGGCGCAACGCGCAGCAAGTCGAAATTTACAAATTTTAGGTTTATCTTAAACTCTCCATATCGTCGGGATGAAATTTCGTCATTATCAAAAAGCAAGTCAAAGATCAACAAAATTACCGTGAACTTAGATGGGAAGTTGTAGCGGGACACCAATTGGCGCAAATTCATTGAATGAATAATCTGCAGGCGTTTATACGATATCGTTGCAACGAGCACATTCAGTGTAATGAAGAACGGGCAAATAATATCCGGGAAAGCACTGAATTCCAGCATAGTACTCTGCAAAGCAGTTCTGATCAACTGTACTTATGCGTACATTTTCGACTGTTTTAGAGTGTCTGGTTGATTTAGGACAAAATATGTCATGATGATACTCAAATTATTATTTTTGGCTTGCGTCGATGTCACCATTTCCTGGAATTTTGAGTACATCCTCTCTGTAATACTGTTTCAGCTATTCAGCATATGCTATTTTAAAAGATTCATCACTCAGAGTAGTTATTTTTTGGGCTTTTCGTGCTGTGCGGCAGCTGTACAAAACGCATATTGTCACGGAGTTGTCTGTATCTGTGTTTGTGTGTATTATGTATGCGTGTGTGTGTCCGCAGCAACTTGCTTAAAATTATCAGCTGGGTAACTGGCAAATTTGACTATAATTTAATAGTTATTCCAGATGCTATAATTTAACAGGAAAATAATGTTTCCTCGTAAATTCTACATTGAAGATCAGTTAACAACACAAAAAAAAAGACAGAGGGAGTCAATCCGCCGCGTTCCTGAAGCCCAAAAAACGCTGCTTGTCTGCAGTGTTGGCCTAGAGTGCAAAAGGAGAAGACTGTCCCATTTGCAGTGCTTTTTATGAACAATATCTCCGTACTGTCACCGCCTCAAGGCTTTGCCGTTAAGTTTACTAATTTCTGTTTTATAGACAGAAAAGTACGCCAACTCGCGCCTATTTCATCATCCAAACTCACTAATGCTTCATAATTTAGATTAGCTACAAAAAAAAAAACATCGTAAAAAATGGGAAAAATACATCTGCAGCCAAACTCTACAAAACAGTTCGGCTTGGTCAAACTGCTTGATTCAGCTCGGTTTGGATTGGTCAAACATTTAGCTCTGCTTGGTCAAACTGTTTGAAGGTGAGTATGAACAGGACGCTGGCCTACTGGGAACACAACTTTCGACCCAAAAAGCACTTACATGACAAAATGAATGGACCAGTGCAAAGAAGCTGTCCATTTGTGCCACTTTCATCTTCATATCGGCATCAGTCATGCGATTCAGATCATCGGCATCAGTTTTGTCGAATATAGATTTCTGATCCAGAATCGTAGAGGCGAACGAACTGATCACTGACACAAGGGTTGAATACTGCAAAAAAATAAAAGTACGTGAGGCTTGAAACAGCACTCTACCTTATTGAACTAGAAAAAAAAACACTAAAAATACCTGGGACTAAAAAAAATAGCATGCCGGCTGCGACATTGATAAGATGTTAGCTACAACAAGTAAGTTGAACTGTAAGGGACCTAACACCCGAAAAACATTTCTTCCTCGTCAGAAGGGACACGCATCACCCAATTATCATCAACAAAGCGAACAACACTTTATGCTCAGTAGAGTGACGTAGCGCAAGTAGAAGGGCGTGCTAATAAAAAGGGGGGACCAAGGGGGCCCGTGTTGTGCGTGTCGTCGTTCCGGTGTTGAGCTGGTGTTGGTGTTAAAACTGTGTTTATTCTGAGATATGTCTGCCTTATATAACAAAATCAAAGCCACACCTCCCCGTTCATACAGGCTGACCCGGGGTAACAAACAAAGCCAGACAAAGCCGGGATAACATGAATAAGGAAGCCTGGCGCCATCACAAAGAACTGGAGCTGCTTCTCGGTACATCTGGGGGCCATATCAACGTCCGATCAGCTCGTAGCACTAAATCTCCATTAATCATCGTATTCGAAAAAAACGGATTTTTGATCTTTCATTATTGCCAATTTACATTTTTACGTTCTAGGGACCATCTCTCGCCCCTTACAGTAGGACCTATTTTTTATCTCTAACGTAATCAAGATGACATCTTCGATCAACACTCATCCGTCAAAATGTTTGTCGAGTAAAAAGAAGAAACAAACGGCTAACACACTCTTTTCGCAAAGGCCAAAGAAGCGTTTCCATCCGAGAAGTAAGCAACCGCTGTTTTAAACCTTTTTGCAATTCTCTTAACAAAAAACGACTAAGCAAACGGCAACACCTATAATATCGAAGCAATTTATGTATATACCTTATCACCGTACTGTGGGCGGTAAGCGCTCTGGAAGTTGGAATATTCCAGCATTTTGTTAAGAGAATACTCCCGAGTTGTTATCAGTGCCTTGATTAATGGATGCTGTGAATTCGCAAACAAGGCCAGGTTAGTTTGTCCGCTAATAACACCTTGGTAAGACAGCAAAATATCAAGGATGCTTTCAACCATCATTTTCTAAAAACAATTAAATCCAAATATGAAATTCGAACTGTACAACATACAGCATGGAATAAAAAGTAGTATGCCATAAAATGAAAGCTGTTTTCTATGCATTAGAAAGGAACTAAGGGTTGTCAAACTTTTGGAAAAAGAGACATTTTCACCGAGAAATTGGTGAAAGACTAGAAAGGTGGCCAAGGAATTCTTCCATCAATTTTTTTCTATATGTAGTAACTATGAACAGATGAAACTGTCAAAGACGCCTAACATCGGTAAAAAAAACACCTGCCATTTATTCGGATGCCTAATTTGCAAAAAAAAGAAAAAAAAAAGACAAACAAAAAACAAGTTGCCTGGAAAAAACGAATAAAACAATTTTAGAAGTGCCGTACCTACATCAACGGCTGATACTCAAAAATGTGTTGTTTTGAAAATCTCATAGTTCGATGTACAAGGCTTTGTACATCGAACTATGAGACTTTCAAAACAACACATTTTTTGGCGTCAGCGAAGCAAAAAGCTTAAAATTCCAGGAGTTCCATGAAAACGCAGCGGAGAGAAAACACCTGACACTCTTCCCCCCCCCCCCCCCCCCCCCCCCCCC